ACAATATGCTATTTAAATATATTTCGAAAAACACCTTCTTCACATAATAGGTTCGGGTGATATTTGTTATATATTGCAATAACGTTTACACCGATACGTAATTTTCATTTTGAACAATAAATTTTCTTGAATTTTGAATTTTGAATGCATCTTGTGTCATGAAAGCCAAGAATGCAGTGGATTCTATATATTGGATATGATCAACCCGACATTAACGGTTATTACGAATTTTCGTCTAAGAATGGAACCGACATTTAGTCTTCTTACATTAATATTAATATACAGTAGTATTTCAAGACAAGAACGCCATCTCTGCTGACTGGTTGTCCGAATCACAACACAATCATATGTTTTATTACTTAGCCTTCATCTATAGCCTGACAGTCATCAATTTTCCTGATATGCAGAGGCGAAAATGAAAACATATCGGGTATTCTTCCACCTTTGTCCCAGAGACCAACAACTTACTGTCTGTCCTGATTTCCTTAGCTGAATCTGACCTCCGAGTTGAAATGAGCCTTCCATACAATATATGTGTAATTCATTCGTTCAATTCTCAGAGGACCTACTGTAGTTGACAATACGTGTGAATCTAATACCTCAGAGGCGTTCCATAAACCTCTGGTAATTATTGTCATAAATCCGTTAGCCAAGTTATTAATACATCTTTTATTTTATTTATCTCTAAAAAATATGATATTAACTGTGGTTATGACTATAATTGTAAATAATGATGTATTTGAAGTTGTTAATAAATGAGATTGAGAATCACATCGCAAATCATAGCCAGTATAATACCAATGTTGTTTGGTCAATCGAGACAAATGTTATGACGTCATCATTACATTCATGGGCCAATATTTGTCATCAAATTCTAGCTAAGCTAAAACAGACGCGTTTTAGATTCAGATTATTGCAATAACCACTGTTGTATATACTATTGTTATGTAGCCTATGAGTAAATAATATGGATAACTTTTTAATGTAGACAAAAAAAGAATCATTGTGAATGTCAAATTGCATATTTGTATCACAATCATATATACGGTATAGGCCTAATAACATAGCCCTATACTACTAGTTTACAACTAATATTTCTATAGAATGTTTATTTTAATTTATTTAGTGTACGTTACCTTTTATTAAAGATACGCATCAAAATAAAAAAAATAAATAAATAAATTGAAATAGAAAAATCAATTTATAGCAGTGAACGGAAAATTATAATGAAAACGAATACCGGTATTGTTTCTATCCAGTGACGGGCGCTACAATAATTGCCTGCTTGTTTTTTTTATGTCGTTACATAGCAAATAACAAGCAAGTTTAATTCAAGTTCAATTTATGTCACTGGCAAATTATATATTATTATAATAAGTGACGTAACCAAAAAGCTTGTAAACATGGCACGCAGTCATAGACCTCATTTTTTTTTATTATTAACAAATAGGCATAGCACAAATAAAGTAATAAGGATAGGCCTGACATGATTAAATTAATGAGCAATAGTAGCTGCAAATGACTCAAAAATTTGTTTTAAATGTGTTTAGTTGTGATGAGTTCTTAAAGAAACAGTGATAATGAGTTCCAAAATGTAGAGTTTTAAAAATTCTCGCAAAAAAATAAAAAATTTAAAAAAAAAGGGGAAAAAAAACGTTTGGAAATCATCAGAAACTGGGTTTTTTTTTTCATCTGTGCATTCGAAATATGTTAAACTTTCTTATAAATATAAATAAACGAGTAGTTAAAAGTTTCATTTGAACGTTTGAGGTTTCCCCCTAGAGTTTCTAGCTGGCATTATAGCTTCAGGATTATCGCGGAATAGAGACTGTAATCAACCATTAATTCGGAATTATGAAACAGTTCCGAGAGACTACTGCCATTCCGTAATAGTTCCTGTGTTACGTGAGGCACATGTCTATAAATAATGACGTCATCGATTTATATCATTGAGTCTTTAATAGATAAATACGCAATGACGTTTTTATACTAGTATGCAATAAAATTAAATTGACTGCAAATAACTCATAATTATTCAATCATAGTAATGTGCTGTGTTGACCATAAAAGAAGCAGATTTTTTAAATGGCGCTTTATAAATCTCTACCCTAATATCTTTTATAGGTTTACCATAACTAACATTTGCAGGCATTATTGAATAATCATGACATGAAAATTTTCGATATTTTACCCATAGATGGTACAACGTAGCGTGTAAATGATTGATAGTTGTTTTTATTTAAATTTTAGGAACTACTGTCAATTGACACTTATGTTGACAATGTGTTAGAGACTAACACACTATTTTTTACGATTTGGTAAAGCGCAATTGTCGTTAATATCAACATTCCTCCAAAGACTAACACATTATCTATTTGAGCAGGATCTTGATAACATGGTAGGTGGTACTGTATGTAAAATATAACGCTTTATGAAAACAACAATAAATCTACCTTAATATTTAAATTACGAATGGACCCGAAACATCGATTTTGTTTGTCAAATTTTGTGTTAAGTTGATATTTTAAAAGTAATTAAATAATTTTATAAACAGCTAATTTATTTTAAACATTCAAATCCATATGTTTTACTATCAATATTTTCGGTTTTTGTTATTTAATAACGATGGATCAATTTAGTCTAGAGAAAATTGGAATACAGATTTGTGATCCTAATCCCATAAACACGGGTTTGTAGTCTTCGAACCATAACTATTGTGCATCAGTTTGTATAAGTGTTGGCGACTTATATTTTGTACCACGTTCTATAGTAAATTTTATACAATTTTATGTAGATCATCAATTACAAATACAACATTTATACTGTAGAGCCACCAAACTGTAATAAGCCTATAATAACGGATTTCCGCTGGCGACAAAATAGTTATTCATTTAAATATTATTTATTTTAAGCTCGTATTTTCGGAAACAAACATAAATTTTGTCTTAAAATGCGACCCGTACTTTGTTAGATAGGTCAACTTATGATCAACTTATTAATTAATATTAAAGATACACTTCTAAGAATGAAATGGTCATAAAATTAATGATGAATAATGTAGGCCTAATGGACTCGCCAGATTAATCGGATGTTTTAACTTCTGTGTATAGACCTACATTACATGTAACTTTTGTTATCTGAGAAAATATTACGAATTATTGTTCGAGTTCTAATTTGTAAAGGCACATTACTTACATGCGTTATAATAATATGAACACATCATGACGTCACTTCATTAACATAAAGTCTGGATAACATTACGTCACAGAATAGATATGACAGATGTTAAATTTATGGAAACGGGATATAAACATCCTAATGTAATGGCTGAGATTGTAAATAAAAAGTCAACCAGAATCTGTAAATACATGAAGTAGAACTTAGTTAAGTACCTATGTAACATAAACCGAGAATGCTATTAATTTGACGTTCTTAATTGGTCGTTTTTCAGTTTACACGTGTCCGCCTCATTAGTAAAATCTAAAGCTTTTAATCGCCAGATAACATAATAGACTTTAGACGGTTCTTATTCCCATGCCAAATTGGTATATTGTAGAGCTTTTGTTTTGGTAGATTATATCTGAATTCCATGTTATTTTGCCACATTATGTTTGGCAATTCTGAGAAGAATTTGATAATTGTAATAATAATAATGAACTTAAGGTCAAATTGTGTTAAAATAGTTAAAGTAATACAATATATTGTTGAACCTATTGAAGTATGGCTAGGAATTCGATTCTATTGGAGCAGTAATGCATTTTATTACCCTTATGTTGCAATTAGGCCTAAAATGGTAACGAAATTCTATTTCAGTTCAGCCTGTGACAGTCTGGGATCGCAGCTAATTAGCAATGATTAAATGCTACTGATGTCTGTACATTGTCATTACAAATAGGCTAGATTGAATGGGTAAAATCATGAAGAAGGTAAGAAACAAGGTAAGAAAGTTGGCTTACGTTGACTTATAACAACTACCAATATAGGCCTATAAGCCACATTCTTTATTAAATATGTTTGTTGTCTATTTTCCATGTCCTTGCCATTTGCAATTTTTCAAAGCATCATATTAATAATGCTGTATTTAGGCCTACGTTAATTTTGTTCTCATCTCGGAATGTCTTAAATGGGGTAGAACGTTACAAATCATGGGCTCTCTATTTTGTTTCAGAACAGTAATTTGTAAAATGTAAATCTAGCAAAGTGAAACGTTTCTTCAAGACGATAGAAAGTGGAAAAGTAATAAGGTACTATTGTACACCCACAAGGGTATAACCACACACAACTCATTGACTCATGATTATACTTATCATTATTCATTGCATTAATTAGACAATTACTATAGATAAAGATCAAATCATAAAAACACTCAAAAAATGTATGGATGACTAACTTAATTAATTTGATGTACTGTCAGTAACAATGTCGTTCGCATTCCCATATTGTGTCCTAGTACCACAGTACATCAAGCAACCCTGGTACAATGAAAATGCACAATGAACAAGGAAATAAGGAACAGTGGAATGTTAGTGTTGCGGTAATCAAAAGCTGAGCGGGTTCATACAATTTCATCCGTAAAGGAGAAGTAAGACCGTTGAGATGGTTGTCAGTGACACATGAATACCCTTTACTCTTTTTTTTCTAAATCTGTCATAGAAAGCTTAATATTGAACACGCCGTACTTTTGATAACATGACTTAATATTAAGAATGCATAAAAAGAGTATAAATTATATATATATATACTGTCTCTTATACATGTATACTCTACAAATCTAGATGTGTATAAGAGACAGTAATAATGGTAATCATGTTAATCACTGGCGGATACAAAGAGTACCTGGCCATGGTTTTAATGCCTACACATTTAAGCATATCTTGATTCCTAAATCCATAGCCTCTACCCCTTGATGACTGAATCCCCAATGAGCCCCTTACTTTTGGAATCATGGATCCGCTACTGACAAGCCTCAATGGCATAATCATAATGAATGTTTTACGTACCTGGTATTTTCATCCAATTATATACAGGTCCCTTATACTGCTGTTGTACATCGTCATCCGTCCTATCTTTTGTTGTAGTTAAATGGACATCATCATCCTTTCTGTCAGAGGGTTCAAAACTGGTATTTTTTTCAAATGCCATCCACGAGTTACCTCCACTCGTTCGAATCCTTCCCGTTTCACTCGGTTTGGGTATCCAGCTGCAACTGTAAGCTGGGGGAGCAAAGTTACCCGTGTAGCCATTGTAATGGTCTTGGTAGGCGGCCTGACTGTAGTTCTGGCTAAATGCACACGCCGGATACCCATAGGATCCTGGGAGAGGGGTTGAATTAACGCTAGGCGTCGAGCTGTTACAGTCGTAGCCTCCGTACGTAGCGGCGGCACTGACGAAGTTAAGTCCCGTCGTATCGTAGGATCTGTTTTTCTGTGGAGTTACCGGGTCAAAACCGCTGGGATACCAAGATTCTCCCGGTTGATATTTCGTAAATAGTGAGTTCAAAAAGTATGAAGTCATCTAGCCGATTGATTTGTGACCTCGTTTCGTAGATTTTATGACTCTCTTCGAAGAGATATAGCGGATTTACTACCAGTGTTCCCCGATCCTCGCTTCATACAGGACGCACCCTGGTGTTTGCACCTATCAAGACTTCAGACGTTGAATCAGCCAATCAGCGCCGACTTGATGCACTAGAAAGTGGAGATATGATAAAATGACATTCCTAATGGGTTTGATAAATTGCTCGTCTCCGATATTTACAAACACGTGGAAATCGCATATTAGACGGATCATCAACAAAGACGTGTTCGTTATGCTGTCGTTTCGAAATAGCAATCTTATTCCTAACGAAGTAGATGTAAACAATATCCGATATAAACATGAACATTCAGGACCTTAAGCCAAGTGAATTTCTAATGGAAGGCTTAATTGTTGAGAAAATTAAAAAAAAAAATGATCTGGAATAGTGAACAAAATCATTTGCGTATTAGGTTCCAGATATCTGATTGTGTAATTTTCTAAATGTGCACAGTGGCTAGATTATAAAATAGCACCAATGAGATACATGATTTGGTCCTCTATAGCAGACATACAAACACCTACAGATATTCCTAAAAAAAAATATTTTAGCTCAAAAATTCAATACTTGAAAGAGGTCTAACTGGCGGTACAGAAAAACTATAAACTCAGAGTGTTGATGGAAACACGGAACTGTTATGAATACTTTTTTGTATAATAATCATAATATTTATAGTCCTAGGCCTATTGTACGTTCACCGAAATCAGTTAATTTGGCTCGATAGTTGTATATTATAAATACGGTAATAAATTCATAGGATCGAAAGTTTCATGTTTGTTTAATGAATAAAAAACATAACATTTTTTTAATATTTTTTTTTATAACAATGAGTCTGTATCAAGCGAATAGGTTATAGACCTATAATAATTTTTAAACCTACATTCTCAACCACTACTACTGTAGCCTAGGTTTTGTCACAATCTCCTGACTAGAAGTTAAACCCTATGGCTAGGTACCGGCATTAAACACAGACCATGTGGTTAAAGTGACAATGAGTAACAATGCTTTATAATGTAGTTGGAGGCATACAGTAGTTATAAAACATATTTCAAATAATATTGAATATGCTATGATAAAATTTAAAATCAAAATAAATGGAATACTATAATATCATATGGGTACCAGTGTAGGCCTATTATTGTGAATTGTAAAATTATGAAATGTAATAATATAAAACAAATAAAACTTAGACTAAAAGTGCCCAACAAAAATAAAAATAATATCAAATATGGCAAATTGAAATTATACCATAAAGATTTTTAAAAATGAAAAGATGTCGATATACCGGTAAAGTATATAATTAAATTATACGGTCACAGATTGATAAAAGTTGCCCTATTCGATGGACAACAAGTTGTTTTGATTAATAAAAATAATGAGATTGAGGGTGATCACTCAGGATTTGAGTTTGATAAAAAAAATAAGCCGATTATGCTATGCATATATAATTATATACATATACATATATGTACATACATATAGGCCCTATATATACACATATATAAAATATATATAATATATTACTATAAATAGAATATGTAAAGTTCTATACTGTATACAGTATAGCACAATTATTTTACAAGTATCAAGACATTCGTCATAACACCAACATAGAAATTATATACGGTAGGCCATAGGCAGCAATACTTTATTCTCAAAACTACTCATCATCTATCTGCCGCTGCTAAAATATAGGTTATTCTCTATACCAAATATTATGTGATTTATCTGTTTATGTTTATGCAATGAGAGATTCCAAAGGAGTACTGAATGCTATTATTAGTAGGCCTATGTATATCCATGGACCTATTAATAAGTCCATGGTATATCCATGTTTTGTTCTATAATACCGGTACGCAGTAAAATAAATTAACGTTTAGTAATGTAACGTTACTCAAGGAATTCTTTATTCTAAAGTTAACTATCATTAATTACATTGCATTGGGTTTTTTTTCGTTGATTAGGCTACAAAGAAAAACCGATTCGACAAAATAAACATGCGTATCTAATTCGGATACAGCAACTTGCGTCGTAAATTTTCTACTTTACACATCGTCAAATTTAATTAACGCTATCTTATTTTAGCTATAAGAAATTGCTTCTTAAGAGTGAAGCGTGTACGAAGAAAACTAACACATTACAAATTACGATTTGGGTAGAGAGTTGCTAAAATACGGTAAGGTTTATTACGATCTGCCCGCGTTCTCTTTGTTTTAAATTGGTTTGACTATCAGACAAACGACTAGATAATAAGATGTTATGGCTTATTTAGTTTGATTTCACAGGCTAATAGCAAAGTAGACGTTTTTAAAGTGTTTAATGTTCATGTATACCAATACGGACACAGATTGCTTTAATTTTGTCTTTATTTCAATAAGGAATTTCGTGTTCCTGTGTTAAAGTTCTGACAATTTATCGAATATAAACAAATATGCACATCCAGCATACATTTATCTAATATTAGCATATTTAGCATAGGCCTATTCCTTTTTTACAATTTTAATAGGGCCTAGGCCTATAATATGATAGAGGAACTAAAGCTCGTTCATAGGGCTCAATTTTACCTAGGCCTACTAGTACTAAGGCCTCTCATCATGGTTTATTGACATTGTAGGGATGCAGGCTTGGTCAATAGCGTATGTTTGTGAAATCATGATGCTTAAATTCGATTGAAGTTATATGCCTATTTCTTTTTTCTAGTAAATGGAATTTAATGAATAACTCTACTTTTATAAAATAATACCCAAACAGGTAGTAGATAAGAAGATACTTACATTGTTTAAACAGTCGTAATTTCCTTTGAGCTAGCCGCACAACTCATTCACACTTGCTTGCTCTACGGGTGACACAGCGGAATGAATTGCCCCTAGCAACACCTAGGGCCTGATCTCCTAAACTAATGCGATATACAGCGGCTCTATCTGACTTTCCTTTACTGAAAATAAGGTATTTTAAACAATGTTAGCTAGGCTTTTGTACTGTATGGCTAAATAAAAAAAAATAAATTAATAACTTTTGATCGTGCAGTAATCTAGCATAAATATTAATAGATGATGAACATTATTATTACAATAATACTGTAGTCCTAATAGAAAATAGCTGCTTTTGTACTGTATGGCTAAATAAAAAATAATAAATTAATAACTTTTGATCGGGCAGTAATCTAGCATAAATATTAATAAATGATGAACATTATTATTACAATAATACTGTAGTGCTAATAGAAAATCGCTCCTATGTGCCTTGACTGCGTTAATGCAAATACAAGTGCGGCCTATACAGTACTTATAGTTATTGTTTTATAATTTTATAATTAAATGTTGTCACTATCTATTATATTTCTATGTTCATTCATCTTCTAATTTTACTTTACACGTCTACGTGTTTCTCCAATTATATTTAAACAAGTACATGTAGTATACATTGTTCCCGGTAAACTTTGTTTGACAGTACATGCTGTAAATAACCTACTGTGTTTAAAATTGGCAGTTGATCAATATGTTTACATACAATTAATGGTTGTTGCAATTATTGTTATACGGTAGCAGTTTAATTATTATGCAATCTAATGTAAACATCTTAAAACAATTAACTAATAATAATAATGATCCTATAATCAATAACGCATTATCAATAACAGTATTGTAATTCAGACTACTGTTCGGTTAACCAAGTTCACCGTGATGCCAAGATAGTATCCTCTTTGATTTGTCCTTATTAAGCACATGTTTTCTTATGAGTTAGTATCGTACTATAAATTATTTAATTGTATATTTGATAGACAATGCAATTATATTTATAGGCTTATAGAAATGCTAAATAGACCTTCATTCAATAATTTAAAAGACAAGAAAAATTATTGTATTTATATTTGAACCTCTTTTTTTTTCTTCGATATAAATATGCAGGTACTAAAATAAATAAATAAAATATATTTTCCTCGGACTCATGCTTAGCGCATGAGAATAAAGGCCATGTGTATGCGATTATAAGCCTGTTTCAGAAAACAAACGGGCTTTCATTTCATTTGCATAAAGGTATTTCATATAAATCAGTAAAATTATTACTGCATATGCTTCATGTTATCGATTACTTAAAATCGATTGTTTACTGATCAATGGACGTCACTGAAAAACATGGTATCAATCCAACATTTCTAGCTGATTTATGATACGATAATTGGTATTACTCCTGTAAGTTTACTTATAAATACATGTTATGAGGCCATTTAGCAGTCATGGGTGAGCGATATAGGACACTTCAGAATGAAACTTGGAAGCCATTTAGCGCTTCTTCAAACGTACCGCCCAATTGCCAAACGGGACTGTAGAGAGATTTGGAGATGTTCTTGCGTGTAGGTCGGTACTTCATTAAAAACAACCCTCTTTTCTGTCTGATTCAGAATGCTATCATTATTGTGATACTTTTCGCCAATTAATGTGCTGCTCCTCAGAATTATTAACGAATCTCCTCTGATATCAAGTGATTTGTGTGATACTATATTTACAGGTCTACTGCACTTGAACCTTACATTTTTTTTATAAGAACACTTATAAGAACACTGAAACTAAAATTGCCTTAAGAAATAAAAACAAAATAAGAACAAATTGAGGCTGAGACAAAATGTAAAATGAGGTTTTTAATATTTTTTTTTTAATAGAAAAACCAACAAATCCCATCTGTACCTTATGTGGAGTAGGTCTAACTATGTAATGCCCTCTAGAGTATAGTAGAGTAATATACTGCTGTACAATAATTAAATCGGCAATAAATAAGAACAATGAGCCTAGGCAGAATTTTACTGGTTCTTGTAAAACAAGTAAATTAAACATGAAAAGAACAATGCAAGTTTACATTGACAGTAATGAATAGGTAGGTATAATCATCATTATTATTTTGATAATTATTTGATTTTTTATTAATATTTATTATCAGTATCATTACACATATCAGTGTATTGTTGTTTTTTTTTTTATTATCAATACTAGTATTAGGCCCAGTACGTCTGTAGTAATAAAGTGTTTTATTATTATTAAAAGTATGGTTAGGCCTATTCATTATTATAATTGGTGGACTTATACGATAACTTAAGGCGTACATTAAGAGGGACCTAGTCTTGCAGTATCATTGTAGACCAGGCATAAAGAAATTGTGAATAAAATACTGACTAGGTATGTTTCAACTATATTGTAGGCTTAGTAATATTTAGGTATGGCTCTAAAAAAATATCAAATTCAGTTTATGTTTTTAAAAACAAACTTGATATTAATCTAGACCGAAATTGTACATTCCTATTATTCATTCATCATGGAACAATTCCAAACTATTGTTGTTTGTTTTTTATTTATTTTAGTGTCCACAGCAATCATTGCCAGGTTGGTATACGATTAACATTAAAACAAGACAAACAATAACCATCCTAATCGCAAATAAAATCTTTAGTCAAATTCTTATTTAAAAGTTAGGCCAATGAAATTAATAAAACATAGTTAAATCCTTGTAACAAAATCATTGTAGTTTTTTCATTTTTTTTTGTAGGTTTAATTTATACAATATTGAAATTGTTAATCCTACTGACTACTGAAAAATGCTTATGGAATTACAACCACTAGGCCTATATTTTTTGTCACACATAGTGCAATAATAGGCCTACTACAACGGTTTGCATATATATCACTTTTCGTGTTGAGATTTCGTTTTCTATTTTCACTGACATAATCTGTTAAATTATTGTTCTTGTGTAGTATTTTCTTGATGGGCATACTGTATTGGATGTGCTTTGTACTAAAATACACCCTTTAGTAAAGATTACTACGTAATTGATGCAATGAGTGTATCCTTAAGAACTTTAATACACTGAAGAAAAAATACGAAATAAATTAAAGAATACAGTACAAAGTCATGTTTAATGCATCTATTAATGTTAAAATGTAAGAGACAGATTCGTCACTTATATAAGCCTTTACAATATACATGGTCTATTTTGATTACTACGTGGTACCCCTTTACTCCTGTATGTACGTTACATACAATTCCCTATTTTTATATAGGCCAAGGTCTAATATTACGATGACTTAACATGAGAAAAATAAAAGGATTGACAACAAAGATATTTTCTATTGCTCAATTGGTTTCAAATTGTGTTTTCATTTTGTTTTTTTAGACAAATTTAGGCAGCGGGTAAACGGTACGAAACCCGAACTAGGCCTGTAGCCTGAAGCATTTAAACGAAGAAGCGGTAATATAAAGGTTTTTTAGGTAGATACAAACAGAAAAGCTTTAGTTTTTAGCATGTTCATCTAATGATCTAAGCATGTGTTTAAATTTCCATTGCACAGATGTCATAGTTTGAGGAAATTCGTTAGCGGCACAACAACGCATCAAAGGGCCTTTTGCCGCTAATGCGCGATGTTAGCTAATACAACGGATGTGTATGGGTACGAATACATTAGCCTCAGGCTAACAGGTATGATAGGCCTACCATTACACACCAACTGCTTCAACCCATCAACTTGATTTTGGTGAATGTTTTTAATTGTTTCATATTTACTTTTTTGTAAACCTTGAGGATAGGCCTACACCATCAATTCATCTGAAAATCTAAAATACAACAAATATTTTTCAGTAGCATCTGTTTATAAACATTCAATCATGAAATCATGAAAGTTGTTTTATTTATTATTTCTTTTCAAGTTATTGCGAATTTTGGGCTATAGTGGGCTCGCACGGGCTAAAGCCAGGGGCCTCGGGCTCTAAAGTCCCCGCTTAATAAGGAGCCCATAAACATAAAAATACGCCGAAGCGGATGGGACTTTAGACCAGGGTTGTAGGCCATGAAGAAGCCTTAAACAGGAGCCACAGACTTCTTTGTTACGCCACTGGTGAGCGTCAGCAGACCACTTACCGGTACCGTATTCATTTGATCTTCAAATATTTGTAAATATAAAATCCAATTTAAATATAGGCCTATAAATATAATATGGAGGCAACTTCATTTATTCCTTAATCTGATATCCTTCATCTATAAATAATTAATAGTAGGTCTAGCTATATCAGATTAGTCAGTGTATACAGTATTGGGTATATGTCGACCCTGACATGGTTGTAAGGAGAAAATGGCACCGGAAAAATGGCTCCTGAAAGAATGGTCCCGGAAAAAATAACCCTGGAAAAAACGGCCCCAGTAAAAATGGTCCCAAATGACAGGTAGGTAAAAATATATTTTTATATTTGCAGATAAAAACACCCTCTGACATACGGTACTCAAGGGCGAGTTTTTGTAGGGACGAGTTTACTAAGAGTGACTTTGCAGAGGAGAGTTTTTAGGAGTAGGGAACAGTTAAATTCTGGTAGGAGGAGACTATTCTCTTCATGGACGAGGTTGTAAAGCGACGAGTTAATGGGTGAGTTTGTAAGGGGCGACTTTGCTAGGAACGAACGATCCTAGAGTACAGTACATCGGGATGCATAGCTCAGATATATATATGTTAGTTTTTCATATGAAAATTGAGGTTTAAAAACAGTCTTTAATAAATTAATAGAATAGCAATGAAGATAAACAAGAACAACTACCAACGATCGACTATCAAGGGGCTTATTCATCACAGTCAGTATGGTATTAAGCAATGGGGTGGACTGTTTCCTTGAAACGTTGATCAATTACGTTGTCAATAAAATGATAACTCAAGTTAAGTTTACTTTCCGGGTAATAATTTTGTTTTGGTTATTTTAAGAAAATGTTAACGAGAGCAAATGAGAGTTACGTGAACGAAATGCACTACAGGTAATTTGGCCCATGAAGGAAGTTTGGCCTAGCCTAAGGCTACTATCGAACTTTCCTGCGTTTCTCAACAATTTTACAATGCCAAACAACTTCGATATAATTATTTAATTGTTCATTAAGTAGGCCTATTATGTATTCTTAGGAGATAATAA